ACCACAGAGTAATTTCCAGGGTCCCTTTATTCCGGACATTTTCATTAACTAATGAATATATAATCTTGTGTTACATAAAATTCTATTTTCATGAAGCTTTCATTAAGTTCCTCCTAATTAATTTCCATGAGAGGAAGTGAAATTAATTCTTAAAATGCAATGTAATGGGTCTAAATCAAATGAACTTAATATCTCTGGGAAATTTTTTACATCACTAATATTGAAAATGCCTCTGGAGATGCAATATTAATAAGATTTTCTTGACTCAAGGGATTGTCTGCATAGATTCAAATAGGTAGAAAAACCAAGAATTGATAGCCATTGCATTGTGTATAGATGGCCACATTCACTTTAAGAGATACAATAGGAAAAAAAGTCATATAAAAATATGTTTATGTTGGCATCAAGAAGATGATCATTGGGGTGTTGAAGGATGGGTTCAAGTAACTATGGAACCATGATTAGGTACAGAAGGAAAAATATTGATGAGAATTGCCTTTGTTTCTTCACATTTATTAATGAAATGAAAGAAAGAATACAGAAATTCATTAAAAACAAAGCTGCATTGCCAGGAAAGGTGGAAGGAAAAATATTTGAAACACTTCCTTGGTTGTCTCTCGGGTCATAAATAGCATGCATTTCTCAGATGCAGCCATATAGTCCAAATGTCCTCTCACCAATCAGAGTAAATGTTATTTAATTTTCATATATCTCATGTTGTCAACATGTAGAAATGAGATCACACTATGCATTCTGAAATGCATAAATGATGTATCAATCACTGTCCTTCCAACTCCTCAAAATAAAGTGAAAACAATATGTTTATATCAATATGTTCATATTAAAAAGAGATGAAGAAAAGACTATAAAGGAACCCAATTGTCAACTTTTTTGTGTAGTGTTAGTTATATAAATCTTGTTATAAATATTCAGTAGATATGTTATTAAACTGAAATCCATTTGAAATAAGAATTACAATTGATATAATTTCACTAGAAGGAGGATGTTACAGTTCTAAAAATTATATTTGTAATGTAAGAAAAACACTTTTGGAACTTCTAAGGCACTTGTTTCCCATGTCTTTCTCATGAAAATTGAGTATTGAACAATTTATCATAATTAAACTTTCCCTGCCATGTAAAATTCTTTTATAAATATTTCAAAAGAATCCTAGTTTGCAAAAATCAAAATCGTGTCATTGGATGTGAAAAAGAGAAACCAGTATGAATGGTGGTAGTTAACAAAATGTTCAGGAAATCATGAGTAATGATACATATAGCACCCTTGGGTAAGTCTTCATAGCAGTGACAGAATGAGCTTCAAGTTAAAATTAACCAATAAATAGTAACAGAATTTATACAGGCTTTTAAATGCAATGGATGGTTAAATTTCACTACACATTTTAGGAGCTTTTACCCATCTCTTAAGTTTAGGAAAATATCTGTGGTATTATAACAGACTTCTGAATCTGGAATGTGTTACAGGAATTCTATCTTCAAATGTATTCCAGAAAGATATACACAGTGGACACCATGTGCCATTCAACCTAACATTCTTTCATCTCACCAACTTCTTAGTCAAATTATAGCAAGTCTCCAGAAAACATTAAAAAAAAAAGTTGCTAGTGAGAGAATAGTGTGGCATAAAATAAATAAATAAATAAAAACATGGAGAAGTATGCAAGGTTGGGAAATTAAAATAGAGGGTCTTAATTTTAAAGAAGTCCTTTACAATTAATTAGAGAGGGAATGGTATACATGTAGTTGAAGAGTTAGTCAGTGGATGGCATATAGTGTGAAAGGCAGGGAAAAAAGCAAGATACCAGTGTTTCTTATTCAGGAAGATACTTATATATATATACCATATATATAATGGTATATATCACAGAAAACTACCATGAAAATTCAAATTTAATGCAAAATTCATATTTGAAGTTAGACATATCTGTATAGAAATAGAATACACAAATGGCATTATATATACATACAACATTCTCATACACACAAATAAGGTGGGTGAAACTACTTTTGTCCAGAGGATATTCTTTTAAAAATTAATGTTTATTAATTAATAAGGGCATAAATTAATGAGGCAATTTTACAATTTAAGAAGAACCATTAGAAAATTTGGTCTTATTTTTACCTTTTAAAATATTCTTGGTCTATTTTTTACATCACTTGGGATACTATCAGTTGTTTGTTAGCTTTAATAAATTATTTACTATTTCTAGACAATATAGCCAACCATCATTATTGTAATAAGCTGTTATATTAAAAAACTATACTAAATTAGATAACCTGAACAGTGCTGTAGGGGAAATGCAGTGTTCAGTTTCTGGATGCTTCTATTCAGAACAATTTTTCAACTGATGAATATATAAATTTATGTTATGTGGATTTCTATGGTAGCCTAAATGAGGCACTTCTTAATAATATTCCTTGGGGTGGAAATGGTGTAAGTGCCTTGTGATAATGGTTGCAAGTCAAATGACTAATAATATCTTCAAGAAAAATCTCACATTTCAGGCAGTTTGATAATGCTGATACTTTAGAACTGTATCATTAATAAAAATTTTTGATGAACAAAAAGGAACGCCTCACTGAGAGAGAGGAAATAATAGAGAAAGAATAGGGACCTATTGCACTTCATCTCCCCAATTTCTAAGAGAGACAATAGTGAGCTTTGGTAAAATAGAAAAAGCCAGTGTTAATAGAAATATTATGTTATGGAATGGAAAGCAAAAGAATGGGAAAATATGGAAGTTTGGAATTGAAATAGTGAGAGCTTAATATAGGAAAAATTTTCATAACCAATTAATTGGGGAAGGAAAAGTAGAAACAAAGAGATGAGCTAGCCATTGAATGGCATATATATTAAAAGATAAGGAAACAAGAAACCAGTTATTTTAATGGTGTTCAGTGTAATATGTTTTCAGAATATTTATTATCCCCCCTATGGTCTTTAAGAAAAATAAAAAGGGTGAACAATGAAAATACCAATGAAGGAAATACAAAGAAAATTAAAATTTAATACAAAATTTGTATTTTAAATTAAAACCATCAGGATGTATATAAACACACACACACACTCAAATACAAAGTTGTTGAGTGCTTAGTTTTGTTCAGAAAGCATTTTTTTCCCTAAAACTAAAGAGTATATTTAAGAATGAAGGGTAATATTACATATAGTAGTTCTTATGGTTACCTCTTAAAATGTTCTTTATCCCTTTTTACATTAATTAGGTTTTTCTTTTAGTATGTAAGATTTTTTTCTTACATTTTTAATAAATACATATAAGCAGTCCTACTTTTTGTAGCTATTTTTTGTTATATAGTAATCACATTAAATTAGACAATACTGAACCAATACTTCTAGAGATAATACAGGATAATTTTCCTCGGCACCTCTATTCACATTATCATAAAATTATGAGTATATGTATTGTATGTAAATTTCTATTTCTACTAATGTCTAGTGAAGTTCTTATTGTATGAAATCTCATGAAATCAAGAGGAATGAATTATTAGCTGACAATGAGTGGAGTTTAAATCAAACAACATGGCACATTGGACAAATTTTCTCATCAGTCATTTGAAAATGCTAATACTTCAGGGTATATGATTTAAAAAAATTACTTCACTTAAAAGTAATGTTTGTGAAAATTGCTGCAACCTGACAAATCAAAGAAGTAATAATGTTGGAAAACTGAATAATAAATGCAGCTGGAAACTTTCATTAGGAATGGTAAGATCTGAGAAAAATGATGTAAAATGTGTGCATGTTGTATTTGAAGGAAATGATCATTGAAGTAAAAGAGGAAAATACAAATAACAGATAGAACCATTTACTAGCTGCACAGGGCAATAAATTAGTAGGACTTACCTTTTTCTTCTTTGCATTGATTAATAAAATAAAAATTAATTTGTATGATTACAAGCTAAGTGCCTATGATAAATGAGTAGATTAAGAAGATGTGGCATATATACACCATGGAATACAACTCAGCTATAAAAAAAAATGAAATCTTGGCATTGTGACAACATTGATGGAACTGGAAGGAATATGCTAAGTGAAACAAATGAGGAGAAATACAAATACTGGATATGTTCATTCATGTGTGGAAATGAAGCAAAATAAATGAACAGACCAAATTAAACCAAACAAATGTTGTAAATATGGCTGTAGAATTGAGGCTGCCACAAAAGGAGGGAAAGAGGGGTGAGGAAAGTGGGAAAGGAACACAATGGACTCTGTTGAAAGACTTTCATTGCCTTGGTGGTGGGTGTGTGTGGTAAAATACACTTAAAGGGTGAGATCTCGTACCTTTAAGTTATAAACAATGTTGGAAATCAATCTGTCTTAATAAAACAAATAAATTTTAAAAATTGCAAAAGAGAAAAAAACAGCTACTACGATGGTATATAAAAATATTTTCATGAAATTCACGGGAAATATTTGCAATCCTGAAAATTAGAATGTGTTCAAGGGCAGGGGAAGATTGATCCTAAAACTCACACAACCCTTGAATGATAACAGAATTTACACAGGTCTTCAGAACAGTGGAGGAACAAATTTTACTCAGAATATAAGGAGTCTGGACTTATTTTTTAAGGTAATGAGGGTATTACCTTATGAGGATATTAATAGGCTATTAATGGGGTCCCATACATGGAATTAGTGACAGTGGTCCTAACTTTTAATGTGTTATGGAAAGATATACACTAAAAATCATATTCCCACCAATCTAATGTCCTCTATCTCACTGATGTCTTTTTTAAATAATAAGTTTCTAGAAAAAAGAAAAAGATATTTTAATAGGGAAAGAATGGTATGGAATGGAAACAGAAAAGTAAGAAAAATATTGAAGACAGGAAATTGATATTGAGAAACATAATCTGGCAGCAGGTCATAACCAATCAGTTGGGAAAGATGGGTAGACATCAAGGAAAGTCAATGGATTGCATACAGATTAAAAGGGGAGGAATGCAAAGGCAACATACCGGTCATTTTATTGGGGCTGAGAGTAACAAATTTCTGGAATTCACTATTATTTTTCTGAGGGTTTTCTGAAATAAATTAAAGAGATAAAAGTAAATATCATGGAAAAAGCTCAGAGAAAAATTCATTTTAATTCACATTTACATAATTAATATAAACCCACATTTAGAAACATACAAAAATACAGACGGTGAGAGCCCAGTTATGTGCATAAGATATTTTTCCCAAAAATAAAATGCACATAGGGGAGAATTTACTGAACTGAGGGAACACATTAGGAATAGCAGATATCTTCTTCATCTTTTTGTATTACTTAAATTTTTATTCATCAATGTGTAAGCTTTATGAAGTTATTTGGATTTAAATTGAATTATAGAGTCAATATTAATTTTTTAACAACAAACAATGTTAAAATAGCCACATTTGTAATTTTAGAGGTATTGTAATGTTTCTTTACAGGAACTTTCCTTTCTTTTTGCTTTTTTGGATCCCTGTATTCACTACATTTTTGTCAAATGATAAATGCATAGCCTATGTGATTTTATGATTTTACTAATGTTTAAAATTATTTTTAATTAAAGCCCAATAAAGTAAGAGAGATGAGAATTATATGCAAATATAGTATAAATGAAATATCTGAGCTATCTTGGATAAATGTTCACATCTACCACTTTGAAAATATCAGAACCTAAGGATGCATGCTAAATAAAATTTACTTGACTCAAAAATTTTATCTGCATGGATTATAACAGCCACAAAAATAAAAAGAATCAATAATTCAGAATAATAAAAATCAAATGCTGATGCATCCTTCAACTGGAAATAAAGGGTTTGAGAGAAAATCATGTAAAATATTTCTGTTGTAGTTATGAAGAGATCATTGGGAGCTGAGCAGAAAATTACAGTTAAAATATACTTATGGCTCTGTACAAAAAGAAAATATATTAATAGAACTTACCATTTTCTTCTTCACATTCATTGATGACATAAAAGAAAGAAAGCAATAATTAATTCAAAATGAGTTCACAATATCAGAAAGGAAAGATGTTAACAATTTTCAAACATTTTCATAGTTTTCTCTGGGGTCTTAACTAACACATTTCTAAGAACTAGAACTGTAAGTTTGAAAGACTATCTCATCAATCTGAAGAAATGTGGTTTAACTTTCATACATCACTTTTTACCAATGGGAATAAGATTGGAAAAAAAAGCACCACACAAAGAGCTGGAATATGATTCACTCTCTGTCCAAAATTCTGCTTGTACTACTAGTGTCATTAATCTTGCTATAAAAATTTAATCAATATATTGGTGAACTGAATTATTTGAAGTAAATTAATTGCTAGAAAAAAATACAGGAAAGATGGTCAAGATCAAACACTATATTTGTTCCACAGAAAACGAAACATCCCAAGTTAATTATTTGCCATAATTTTCATTAGATAAATTGAGACAGAAACATACAGTAATTGAAAATTTTATGTGATATGGGCCTCCCTGGTGGTGCAAGGGGTTAAGACGCAACCTATGAAGCTCTCCACAGCTACTGCAGCACAAGTTCAATCCCGCGGCAGCCCAGGGAGCAAGCGACCCATAAGGCACAACAGACCTCTCCTGACTCACCCGCTGCTCTCCTCAGCAATGTATTTCAGTCAATCTGCCTGTTCTGTTCCCCACTCTGTTTCTGGTGAATCCTCTCACCCCCCACAGCTCTGGTCGGTACCCCAGCTCTTGTATGTATTAATAAATAAATATTTTTTAAAAATTATGTGATGTAAAATCATTCTTCAAATATGTATCAATAATTTTATTTTGTAAAATTAAAATTGAGTCATTCAAGATGCAAACATGTAAGAATAGTCAGAAAGGCTGTGTGTATAAAAATAAAAATTCCAGGGCCTCCCCGGTGGCGCAGCGGTTGGGTGCTGGGTTGCGAAGCTGCCTGCAGCCTCTGAAGCGCCGGTTCTATCCCCGGCTGCTCCCCGCCTACCAGAGGAGGGTCCCACATGGCACATAGACCTCTTCTGCCGCCTGCTGCTCCCCTCAGCAGTGTACCTCAGTCCTTCTGCCTACTCTGCTCCCCGCTCTGGCTCTGGTGAATTCTCTCACCCTCCCGCGCTTCTGACTGTACCCAGTGCATGTATAGACAAAACAAACAAATAAATAAAACATGCCTCTATTTAAAAAAATATATATATAAAAAAATAAAAATTCCAGGGCCTCCCCGGTGGCGCAGCAGTTGAGCGCTGTGTTGTGATGCTGCCCGCAGCCTCTGAAGCGCCGGTTCTATCCCCGGCCGCTCCCCGGCCACCGGAGGAGGGTCCCACATGGCGCGCAGACCTCTTCTGCCGCCTGCTGCTCCCCTCAGCAGTGTACTTTGGTCCTTCTGCCTGCTCTGCTCCCCGCTCTGGCTCAGTGAATTCTCTCACCCTCCCACGCTTCTGACTGTACCCAGTGCTTGCAAAAATAAATAAATAAATCTTTAAAATAAATAAATAAATAAAAATAAATAAATAAAAATTCCAGAATACTCATGGAAATATTCATGCACCTGAAAAAACTTGGTTAATATGCTCAACGGTGTGGAAAAATAAACCTCAAGATCATATTTGACCACCAAATGATATAAGAATTTACAGAGGGTTTTGAAAGGACACTGGATAAATAAACTTTACTCAGCATGTTAGCTGTCTTCAAAATTGGGAGATATGTAATCAATAACTTTTCCTTAAGATATAATGTCCATTATCAACTTTTATAGGATTTTACAGTTTCATAGCCAAGAGGCACATTTCAAACATATTCATCATAAGTTATCATGAGGGAAATGCAAATCAAAATTTCAGTGAGATAACACCTCACACCTGTGAAAATGACCTTTATTAAAAAGACCAGAAACAAGTGCTGGTAAGGGTATGGAGAAAAAGGAACCCTCTTCCACTGTTGGTGGGAATGTAGACTGGCCCAGTCCCTGCAGAAAGAAGTGTGGAGATTCCTCAAAAGATTAAAAATAGGGGCTTCCCTGGTAGCATAGGGGTTAAAGACAGCACTATGAAGATATCCACTGCCACTACAGCATGAGTTAGATCCCCGACAGGCCAGGGAGGTGATCCACATGGCTCAGCAGGCCTCTCCTGTCTCTCCTGCTACTCTCTTCAGCAATGTATTTCAGTAGATCCACTTGTTCTGCTCCCCACTCTGTCTCTGGTGAGTCTTCTCACTCCCACACCTCTGGCCCATACTCTAGTTCTTGTATGTGTAAATAAATAAATCTTTGAAAAAAAGATTAAAAATAGATCTGCCACCAAAACTCAGCAATTTCACTCCTAGATATCTATCCAAATAACACAACACATTAATTCAAAAGGAAAACTACACTCTTATGCTTATTGTAGCACTATTTATAATAACCTATATATATGTACATTATATAAATAGGTTATTTTATATATATATACACACACAGACATAACCTAAGTGTCCAAAAATAGATGAATAGATAAAAAAAGGTGTGGAATAACACTTAGTGATCAAAAAAGATGAACTTAAGCTATTTGTGGCAACTTGGATGGTGCTAGAAGGGATTATACTAAGTGAATAAGCCAGAAAGAGAAAGATAAATACTGAATGGGGTTGCTTATATATAGTATATAGAGAAAGCAAACAAAAGATCAGAGATAAACATTAAAACCAATCCCTGAAATCTGACAATAGGTCTAAGGCATTCAGAGAGGGTGGGGGTGGGGGAAAGGCGATAATGAAGGAGTAGAGCACAATGGACATGGTGGAGGATTATGGGTGCCTTGGTGGAGGAAGAGCTACAGTCACCACAAAAAATAGATATATACCCAACTGTAGAACTGAGCCTACCAGAGGGGTAGGGTGGGTTGGGGAACAAAGTGGGGAATTGTCTATGATCTATGGTAGAGGTATACAGGTGATTTGGTGGTGGGTATACTGTGGTAACATTCATTTGAAATGATTTGAATGTACACTCTGAATAATGTACACTATTTAAAACCAAAATTACCTCAATTAAAAATTAATAAAAATATTCCCCATACAATTGCACCCTTCTTATTTTGACCCCACACCCTCCTCTCCCCACTCCCCCCACCCCGTAATGTATCTCTGATTTATAATTGCTTGTTGATTTTGATTTTTTTCTTTATTATAGTTATTCTTTTTCCTGGTCTCTTATTTAGGTTTTCTAAACTCCTGCTATGAGTGAAACCATCCGGTATTTTTCTTTTTCTTTCTGGCTTATTTTGCTGACGAACCCATGCCATTTGTGGCAACATGGATGGAATTGGAAGGGGTTGTGCTAGCCAAAATTAGTCAGAAGGCAAAAGACAGATACCAAACAGTCTCACTCATATGTGAAATATAGAGAAACCAAGCAAAAAGTCAAGAAAATGTCAAAATTAGCAAACTGTCCATAGAACTGAGGCATACAACACAGGAGGGTGTGGGAGGGAAGGCAAAACAGGGACGATAAGAACACAAGGGAATATGGTGATGGTTCACTGGTGATAAGGTGGTGGGAGAACTATTGTGATTACAATGATGTAAGAAGAAAATTTAATTAATAAAAAATTTTTAAATGAAAAAAATTAATAAAAATACAAGAAATATTTAAGACATTGCTTTCTTTATGATAATCAATTTAATATGATGCTTTCAAACATATCCAATACATACATATTCAAAACAAACAAAAAAATTACAGAAAATCTATGTGCACAAGTGTGAAAATGTCTAATGACTCTTACCATTTTCTATTATATCCATACCTGAAAAACAAAGAAAGAGATAGGTCGAAAAATCAATTCATTCAGTCTTTGTCATTGAACTTTAATGCCATATTCTCTAAAGTACCATAAATATGATTTTACTCACACCTAGACCATCAGGGCAAAGAACTTGGAGGATAAGTCTGGCAAGCATCAATAATGGCAAGTATCAATATATTTCTTGGGAATGATATGGGAAAATGAATGAACTTCAGATAGAAAATGTTTACTCCTTGCCTTGAATAGTTGAAAATATACATTATTCATAAG